TTTTTTTTTTTTTTTTTTTTCTCATCGGTCCAGTCACTTTTTTTTTCAAAGAAAAAACAAATCAATTTACATCAGTTTTTTTGTCAGTTTCTCGTCAGTTTCTCCATCAGTTTTTTTACACATCCTTTACCAATGCAAAAACAGACCGTATGTCAGTTTACATCCATGTTTCGTCTGTTCCGTTTCTCTTTACGGAAGAAAAATAGGGTTTTCTACAATTCAAAAAAACTGATGTTAACCACTTGCCCTCCTGAGGATAAGCCCCCCCCCCCCCCCCCCTCCTGACCAAGCCATTTTTTGTGTTACGGCGCTGCATTACTTTAACTCAGTGTTTCTCAACTCCAGTCCTCATGGACCCCCAACAGGTCATGTTTTCAGGATTTCCATTATTTTGCACAGGTGATTTGATCAGTTTCACTGCCTTAGTAATTACCACAGCTGTTTCATCTGAGGGAAATCCTGAAAACATGACCTGTTGGGGGTCCATGAGGACTGGAGTTGAGAAACACTGCTTTAACTGACAATTGTGCAGTCATGCAACGCTGCACCCAAATGAAATTTACGTCCTTTTTTTCCCACAAATAGAGCTTTCTTTTAGTGGTATTTAATCGCCTGTGCTGTTTTTATTTTTTTTTGCGCTATAAAAAAAAAGACCGACAAATTTGAGGAAAAAAGCAATATTTTTGACTTTTTGCTATTAAACTTGTCTAATAAAAAAATCAAAAAAAAATCAAATTTCATCATAAATTTAGGCCAAAATGTATTCTGCAACATGTCTTTGCTAAAACAAAAAATCCCAACACGTGTAAATTAATTGGTTTATGCAAAAGTTATAGCGTTTACAAATGGCGGTATATATACTGGGATTTTTAATTTTTTTAAATTTCTACTAGTAATGGCAGCAATCAGCGACTTATAGTGGGACTGCAGGACTACGGCGGGCATTCTGACACTGGGGGGGGAACTGACTTGATGTCACTGACATCCCCAGTGACACCAATACAGTTATCAGTGCTAATAAAAAGCACTGACACTGTACTAATGGTACTGAGCAGGAAGGGGTTAACACGTGGGGCGATCAAAGGGTTAACTGTGTGCTGTTTTACTGTGGGCTGTGTTAGTGTTTTGCGCTGTAAGCACACTGCTTTGCATGTCTCTGCTATGCAGAGCCATACAAAGCAATGTGCAGGAGTTGACATGGGGGAGAACTGTATTGTTTACATACAGTTCTCTCCCTCCAATGGTAAATGCTTCGCAATCACCGGGTGTCGGTGAGTAATCACCAGCCGGGACCTAGTGCTTGACAGCCGAGGCCGCAAATAGCGGTGCGGATAGGGCATGCTTGCGTGCGCCATCTACCCAGAAATGCAAAATCACGTGTGTGTGTGTGTATGTATACACACAAACACACGTATGTGATTTTGTGCACCCCTGCCGCCCTATAGCGGTATATCTGCTATAGGGTGGCGGGGAAATCAGTTAACAGATATAAACAGATGATCATCCGTTTACATCTGCTAGTCCATGGAAATAGATGAGTGTCCATTTTTCATCCGTAAGCGGATAGATGAAAAACAGACATACGGAATGCCCCGTGTGAAAGGACCCAAATACCTTTTCTCATCAACCGTTAGAGCAGCCTTGTGACTTCTATCAGTGTCCAGCAGAGCACTGGTTAAAACGTGTAGGAGGAGATTTTTAATTCTGCTGTAGGAAAATGCAGAACCCCTGACCTCTGTCTGGACAGTGCTGATTGGCCCTGTGCTGACCACACGCACTCTCCCAAGAAAAAAATAAAAAAACTTCTCTAGCAATACACACCAAACTGAGCATGTGCAGAGTGACTCCACATGATATGTCTTTATTAGGAGATAAGAGGGGGGCACTGGAAGAAGGGGAGGATTAGAGAAGTCAGGATGAAACAGCCTTTACACAATGCAGAGGATTGAGCCCTTAGGTTCCACAGTAAGTATAACAAGCATGTTTTACTGCATATAAAGACTGATTTTACTGTTGTGGGTTTAGTAACACTTTAAGCACATTTTTTTTTTTTTTTAGTTGCGTTTTCATCCCCTAGAGCAGTGGTCGGCAAGCCGCGGCTCGCGAGCCACATGCGGCTCTTTACCCAGTCTAATGCGGCTCTTCTGTGTGCCGGCGCCTGCTCCCCTCCCTCCTCTCGGTCGGCCGCTCCCCTGCCTCCTCTCGGTTGGCAGCCCCAAAAGTCCGCGCGGACCTTTTAATCCGGCTTGCGGATGTGGCTGTCAGGATGTGTGTAGGCGGGGCAGCGTGCCGAACGTGAGGGGAGGGGAGCTAGGCTCCTCTCACAGTCCGCCCTGAAGACCCGAACGGCGCGGGAAGACAGCGAGAGGAACGCAAAAGGTAAGTGAATTGACACGGGGGACTTGGCTTACTAGAAGGGGGGGGGGGAATAGTACTGTGGGGGATGAAATACTATATGAGGGATGAATTACTTTATGAGGGATGAAATACTATATGGGGGGATGAAATACTATATGGGGGATGAATTACTATATCAGGGATGAATTACTATATGAGGGATGAAATACTATATGGGGGGATGAAATACTATATGGGGGGATGAAATACTATATGGGGGGATGAATTACTATATGAGGGATGAAATACTATATGGGGGGATGAAATACTATATGAGGGATGAAATACTATATGGGGGATGAATTACTATATGAGGGATGAATTACTGTATGAGGGATGAAATACTATATGGGGGGATGAAATACTATATGAGGGATGAAATACTATATGAGGGGATGAAATACTATATGGGGGGATGAAATACTATATGGGGGATGAAATACTATATGAGGGATGAAATACTATATGAGGGATGAAATACTATATGAGGGATGAAATACTATATGAGGGATGAATTACTATATGAGGGATGAAATACTATATGGGGGATGAAATACTATATGGGGGGATGAAATACTATATGGGGGGATGAAATACTATATGAGGGATGAATTACTATATGAGGGATGAAATACTATATGGGGGGATGAAATACTATATGGGGGGATGAAATACTATATGAGGGATGAATTACTATATGGGGGGATGAAATACTATATGAGGGATGAATTACTATATGAGGGATGAAATACTATATGAGGGATGAAATACTATATGGGGGGATGAAATACTATATGAGGGATGAAATACTATATGGGGGGATGAAATACTATATGAGGGATGAAATACTATATGAGGGATGAATTACTATATGGGGGATGAAATACTATATGAGGGATGAAATACTATATGGGGGATGAAATACTATATGGGGGATGAAATACTATACGGGGGATGAAATACTATACGGGGGATGAAATACTATACGAGGGATGAAATACTATACGGGGGATGAATTGCTATGGGGGATGAATTACTATATGGGGGATGAATTACTATGGGGGATGAATTACTATATGGAGGATGAATTACTATATGGGGGATGAATTACTATATGGGGGATGAATTACTATGGGGGATGAATTACTATGGGGGATGAATTACACTATGGGGGATGAATTACACTATGGGGGATGAATTACTATATGGGGGATGAATTACTATGGGGGATGAATTACTATATGGGAGATGTATTTTCAGTTTTAAAAATGTGGCTCTCAAAATAAATTTCAATCATGGTTTTGGCGAGATTTGGCTCAGTTGAAAAAAAAGGTTGCCCACCACTGCCCTAGAGCAATGGTTTCCAGGGGAGGAAAAAAAAACATCCTGTGTGCCTGAGGCTAATATGTCATAGGGCTTGTCTACACTCGTGATGGTCCCTGAAAAGTAGTTTTTGACAGCAAAAGGTGCATTTTTTTTCTTTAAAGAGAATACTACATAACTGTGAGCTTAGCAACTGGATTACAGAGTGGCCCCTTTACTTGAATAGGTTGTGCTTTGCAGAGGTGCTGCCTGGCAAAGGCAACAGGGAATAATCATTTTTGTTGCAAAGCATCATGGCCGCAGCATGTGTATAATCTTATCTAGCTGCCATTTTATTTTAAAGTGGGTGGTCTGGGTGCTAATCCATGGCTCAACAGTCTGTTTTTTACCACTCCATGACCACAAGTGTGAACAAGCCCCTAGACTAGGTTCATACTGGTGCGCTGCATTTTGGCCAAAGTGCGGGTGTTTGCACATTTTTTAGGCATTTTAAGCCTAGGTCCCATTGATTTCTATTAGGTTGCACATTTTGCTGCGTTTTCTGAATGCACACCAAAAGTCCTGAAAGTCATATGCTTTCAGAAAACATGGCAACCACTTGCAACCTAATAGAAGTCAACAAGACTACAGCCAAAACGTGTCTAAAACACGCATACACCAGCACTGCGACCAAAATGTAGTGAACTTGGGCTTGAAGGATAAGTTCACCCTTGGGAACATGTTATATGTTCCATTTGTTTGTGGACTGCCGTGGTAGTTCATTGAATCTTCCTGTCAGTATATCTGCTTGCCTGTACATTCTGTACGGGCAATCAGATATACTGACAGGTGTGCAGGAGACCTGCATGGCATCAGCATTCTGCTGATCATTGGTGCAATGCTTTACAGCCTCCAGAAACAAAAAATAATAAATACACATTTTTTTTTTGTATTACAAATGGAATAACAAGGACTGTATGTGTTAAGAACATTTCAGCTAAGCTTGAGAACAGGTAACCACCCCCCTTCCCTCATAATAATGTAAAAGCCTCCTGCCAATATGCATTTTCAGTTATTTACCATGATGATCCAGAAACATATATTGTTTTAAGAAGAGCTTGGTGAATGTTCTCCTGATTTTCATGTGTTATTCTTCTCTATAAATAAAGAGATTGTGTATTTTTTTTTTGGGGGGGGCAGCGGTTTGTAACTCTTTCCTTGAAGATGCTGCTGGTGAAGAAACACTTTGCGATCATCCAGAAAGAGCAGAAAGAGTGTTTCAGAAATGAAAACTCTGGAGGGAAAAACTACTTGCACTCTCAATATGGCCCTCATCATGTCATTCAATAAAGTATATGTTAATGTCTTTGGGGCACTTCTGGTATGACAGGATGTGTTTTTTGTCATCCTTGTAGCATTTGGAAAAGAATATTTTGTCTCACAGTATTTGCAAATTGCAGCTTTGCTCTTAGCAGAAATTGCACTGTGGAAATATTTCCAAAACTCTAGATTTTGGTTTCACCATTTTACTGAGAGGAGGAAAAGACAAATCTATTTATTGAGTAGGCTATAGGTAGACATTATGCTGTGATGGTGGAGAACATTTAATAGGAATCATTTAAAGGTTATAAAGATAAACTATTTTGTTAGACAAATTTACCCTCTTACCTGTCAATGAAGGCTTGAGACGAGAGAAACTATCATCTACTGTATCCCAACAATCATCCGACTGTAGGAGGTACAAGATGGAGCCCACAAGCAGACTAAATTGGAGCCTTTCCCCTGCAGTGTCCCCTAGTGGTAGAAATGCATATTTCTCTTATCTGAGAAATCCATTGAAAAGCACATTTGTTACTTGAATTGTATTCTAGGATTTGTTTGTCTTAAGCTGAGAGAATTTGCCATAATTTAAGACTTTACATAAAGTCTCAGAAATCTTTCATTAAGGTCTTCATGTTATCTAGTAGGGGTCTCCAAACTATGGTCCTCCAGCTGTTGAAGTACTACAAGTCCCATCATGCCTCTGGGAGTCTTGCCTGTGGTTGTCAGTCTTGCAAGGCCTCATAGAACTTGCCGTTTCTCAACACCTGAAGAGCCATAGTTTGGAGACCCCTGTTATAGTTTGAATACTATAGTTTGAATACTATGTCCTAGATATATTATTTTTATCATTGTAAAAGAACATATTCCACACTTCTCTTTTTTTTTCTCCCCAATTTATCCAAAAAAAAAGCAAAAAACGGCTTTGAAAAAATACATTTGTTTCCCAAGTTTTTTTGTTTCAGGCCTCCCCATCTCTGTTGCCACCACCAATGTTTATTGGATTCAAATAAAAACATACCCGCAAACATTAAAATGGATGAGCATATCAGATCATAATTCTGACCATAAGGCAATGTCATCTGGCCAGATATTCTGAAGTTGGTAGGCTTATGCGTTTCGGGGGACGTGTCCCCTTCCTCTGGAAGGCGAAAGCCTTCCCACTTCAGTATACTTGTGCAGATGACATCCTCTTATGGCTGGAGTTATGATCTGATATGTCAGTTCCATTTTATGTTTGTGAGTATGTTTTTATCATTTGGATTCAATAAACCGTGATAGTGGTAAAGCACTAGGTGTTTGTGGCCTCCTGTGTGTTTTTACAGTTTCCTTGGAGATCTTCCCAGTCCGAGGAGGGCTGCATCGGGCGAAACATTAAGTGTTGTGATCCCATTGGATATATTACAGTTTGAGTGTTTGAACTCTTCTTTGGCACTTATCCTACAGACACAGCTGATCACTTGATATGGTAAAAGGCCAATCACAGCGGCCTTTTACCACGTGATCAGCCATGTCCAATGACACACTGATCAACGAGAAATGCAATTGCCGGTTATCGGCTGCACTTTCCTCACACTGTCACAGTGTGAGGAAAGTACTGCCGAGAAACCGACAGTTGTCAGAGGAGGGATCGGCACTGATGATCAGGGCACTGATGATCAGTGCCCTGATGATCGGTGCCCACCAGTGCCACCCACCAGTGCTGCCTACCTGTGCCCAGCAGTGCCAGTGCCACCCATCAGTGTCGCCCAGCAGTGCCACCCGTCAGTGCCCAGCAGTGCCGCCAGTCAGTGCCCAGCAATGCTGTCAGTCAGTGCCAGCTCATCAGTGTCACCTATCAGTGCTGCCTATCAGTGCAGCCTCATCAACGCACATCAGCGAAGGAGAAAAATTACCTGTTTGCAAAATTTTATAATAGAAACAAAGAAAAACTTTTTTGCATTTTTTTTGTTTATAGCGCAAAAAAAAAACACCCAGCTGTGAGTAAATACCACCAAAAGAAAGCTCTATGTGTGTGAAAAAAATGATATAAAAATTTCATATGGGTACAGTGTTGCCGCAATTGTCATTCAAAGTGCAACAGCACTGAAAGCTGAAAATTGGCCTGTTAAGGAAGGGGGTATAAGTGCCCGGTAGCTAAGTGGTTAATAAACACACACTTACCTGTCCCAGGGTCCAGCAATGTTCTCACCCGCGTGGTCCCTTCTCCCCTTCTCTTCTCCACGGCGCATCTCAACTGTGGGCACCAGACTGTGACAGCTTGCGGCTTCACAGCCTGGTGCCCACTGCGCATGCGCGAGTTGTGCTGCGCCTCCTAATAGGACCGGCAGTCTCCTGGGACCTGTGAAAGTTCCAGGAGACGGAGGGAGGAGGGAGCCAAACTTCCGGCTCACTTTGCTGTGGCGAACTCAGCTGGAAGTGGGAGTGGGTACCTGTCCAAAACAGGTATCTGCTCCCCACAAAAGGTGACATATATGGCAGTGGAGGGGGGGAGGAGGCAAATAAGCGGAGCTTCCGATTTTGCGTGGAACTCCACTTTAAAGCCCCTGTATAACAGGTAGCTCATTAGCTTTTTAAATAAAATTTTATTAAAAACATATTACTGAAAAATGGCCATCTGAACCCTGAATAGAATATATTACCAACTGTATATAGGAACCAGGCAGATTCTAGCTGTCATATTGGTAGTGTTTCCTGGAACGGGTGAATAAGGCTCTATAGCCAGGCAGCCAAAATGCCTAAAAATTACAACTGATGCATAACTTTAGTCTTTTCCATTGTTTTCAGGGTTCTCAAAATCTAAATGTCGAAATTCCCTCAGGGATTACATGCAGTGATGGGTTTTATGTGGTCATGCTATGAATAAAAAATATGTTTCTTTAGAAATTATTCTCAGTGGCTCCAATTTCTCATAACGCTTTTGTGAAATGAGCTGGTATTACAATTTGACAGTTGTGACACTTTGCCATGCATCCTGTTCTGTTAGTGAAAAAAAGCTTGAAGAAACAAAGCATTAACTTTTTGTGGGTGGGATTTCTGTGATTTGTCAGTCTGGTCAGCCAAGTGTTAAAGGATAATTTCACCTTTGCACCATGTTAACATGTTCCAGCTATTTTTTAGGCCTGGTTCACACCTATGCAGGTTGCAGTTGACGCATTTTACTGGTGTGTTTCTTTTTTTTCATGCACATTTTCAGTGTGTTTTTAATGGGTTTTTGATGCGTTTTGCATTTTTGGAAAGTGTTGTCTTGAGGGGGAAACCAACAGAAACACATACATTATATTGCCAAAAGTATTGGGATGCCTGCCTTTCACGCACATGAACTTTAATGGCATCCCAGTCTTAGTCCGTAGGGTTCAGTATTGAGTTGGCCCACCCTTTTGCAGCTATAACAGCTTCAACTTTTTTGGGAAGGCTGTCCCCAAGGTTTAGGAGTTTATCTATGGGAATGTTTGACCATTCTTCCAGAAGCACGTTTGTGAGGTCAGGCACTGATGTTGGACTAGAAGGCCTGGCTTGCAGTCACCGTTCTGATGCATTGGGTTAAGTTCAGGACTCTATGCAGGCCAGTCACGTTTCTCTACCCCAAACTTGCTCATCCATGTCTTTTATGGACCTTGCTTTGTGTACTGGTGCGCAGTCCTGGTGGAAGAGGAAGGGGCCATCCCTGAGGCCCAAAAGTTAGGAGCATGAAATTGTCCAAAATGTCTTGGTATGCTGACACCTTAAGAGTTCCCTTAACTGGAACTAAGGGGCCAATCCCAACCCCTGAAAAACAACCTCACACCATAATCTCCCCTCCACCAAACTTTACACTTGGCACAATGCAGTCAGGCAAGTAACCGCCAAACCCAGACACATCCATTGGATTTCAAGACAGAGAGGCGTGATTCGTCACTCTAGAGAACACTTCTCCACTTCTCTAAAAGTCCAATGGGGGTGTGCACTTTGCATTGCACTTGGTGATGTAAGGCTTGGATGCAGCTGCTCGGCCATGGAAACGCATTCCATGAAGCTCTCTACACGGGGCTAATCTGAAGGCCATACGAAGTTTGGAGGTTCTTAGCTATTGACTCTGCAGACAGTTGGTGACTTCTGTGCGCTTCAACATGCACTGATTCAGCTCTCATTTTTGTGACCTACCACTTCATGGCTTAGTTGCTGTTGTTCCCAGTTGTTTTCACTTTGTTATAATACCACTAACAGTTGACCACAGAATATTTAGTAGCAAGGAAATTTCACGGATGGACTTATTGCACAGGTGGTAACTAACCTATCATGGTACCACACATGTTTCTCCTGAGAGTGACCCATTCTTTCACAAATGTTTGTAGAAGTAGTCTGCATGCCTAGGTGCTTGATTTTATACATCTGTGGCCATGGAGGTGATTGGAACACCTGAATCCAATGGTTTGGAGGGGTATCCCAATACTTTTAACAATATAGTGCATGTTACTAAGATGCAAGCACTATATTTTTGATGCATTTCCGTATAAGCCTATGGAACCAAAAATGCATCCTGCTGTGGGGAAAAAGTCCCTGACCCTTTCCAGAAGACGCACCAGTGGAAAACACATAAATGTGAATGTGACCCATAGGAAACCATGTTAAATGGACTGTAGTGTGTTTCTGCAAAACAGCCAAAATGCATAAGTGTGAACCAGATCTTGAGGTAGAACATGTAACATGTTCCAGCAACTGCAGCTTCTTCCCCCGTTCCCCCCCCTCCCTGTGACAGCAGGCGGGGGATCCTTTCCCCATACACGCCATCACTATTTGAAAACAGCCCACACGGCCGCATCATTTATTCAGTTTCCTGTGAATGGATAGGCTACAAGTACTGTCAGCCATTGCTTGTAGTTCTTAGTGAACTACGAGGGTGTTGTTGAGCGCTCTGATAGTTCATTGATCTTCTGCTCTCCGTTAACTGCCTGCCCATATGAGGTATTGGCAGACAGGTATACTGACAGTCTGCAGGAGCCTGGGATTGCACTGTACAAAA